TAAAAAAACATTGGAGAATTGTGGTATGTTTTATATCTGCAGATATTAAATGTTGTGTTTTTTGAATCTGCAGATATTAAATGATATGTTTTTAATACCTGCAGGTTTTTCATAAAATAAGAATGCATCCCAAACTCACCCGAATATTTTCTTCTTCAAAGACCGTTGAAAAATTTTAAGGGGAAGATGGTTTTCTTCGACTCAAGGGTTCATTAACGCTGTTGGTAGCATGGTCCGCCTAAAAAAGATTTGTTTTTACAGTGTTTTTTTAATCAGTCTTTCCACGCAGAAAATTAAGAAATTGTGAAATTTCCGTTTAACTTAACCTAAATTTTAATTTTATTTTATGTTATAAAATTCTAAAAATCTTATAAAATATTATAGGAAAATCTAACAGGAAAAAAAAATCTTCTTTTTTGTCTTAAATTTTTAGCTAAAAATATGCAAAAAATTTTCCTTTTTTTTCTCTCTTGACAGTTATTACCATCATTATTAAAACGTTCACGAAATATTATAAGCCCGTACTGCAGGTGGGGATGGTGGATGCGATCAATGCCGCTTTTTGTACCAATTACCCTTTGTTTCGCATAAATCTCGTTTTAAAATTACAATTATCCGATTATGAACAAGGTAATACATCTATTAAGCTATACCTGGAGTCACACTGCCATCTAGTAATTTGCAGTAGTACTAGACTCATTAGCACACTCACAGGCAGAAATATTTTAAATGATTCAGGTAGAAACCAGTCATCCATTATCGATTTCAAAAAAAATGCATTTAGTCTGCTTGCTAGTCACAATAAAAATATATTCATATTTTTTTTTTCAAGTTTGCCGTTTGATAAATTTACAATAAATATATACTCCATATATAAATTTAGGCCGAAGTAAGAAGAAGACAAACTGTCTTATTACCGAACCCCGTTTTTATATTGTATGTGTTTATATAAAAGCAAATACATACATAATCTGTTTTAAAATTCATACATATTTTGCAAAATGCTAAAAATGTCTTTAAAAGAACATGAAACTATAGTATATTTCTAATGATTTGAAATAAAAGTAATATAAACATACATATATATTAATGCATACTCGTTTTCTATATTAATGTTTAATAAGATATATTCATTTAGTGATAATAACAACGTTTTTTTTTTTTTTTTTTTGAATTAAATTTAGACAAATAAATATTTGAAGTCTGATGTAATAAATTCTAATTGTAATAAGAGTCTTTTAAATTCTGTTTTAAATTTCTTCAATGAGCTTTTTATGATTATTAAAAGTTTTAATAATATTTTTATTGAGGGTCGCATGTGCCACCTTTGTCTCTGTGCCTAGGTAAAATGTACCCAGTGCCCCCTCCCTCTGTGCAACCCTGATCACCCTTATCACTTGTAATTAAATCAAGTAGGTTTTGTAGAGTATAGACAAGTTAGAAAAAATGATTTCATCTGTTTCTCAAGTAAGAATGGATATACGTTTTTCATTTGTAATTCAGTTGTCAGTGATGGAGATCATGATGTATACAAATCCTTGAAATAATTATACTCTACGACTGCTTTTGCAATGTTTATGTTATTACTGTAACTTTATTTTTATCAATACTATCATTTTTATTAGTATTGTAAAAATAACTGTTATTGGAAAATTAAAAGCTTGTTGTTGTTTTATAAAACACTGACCTTTACTTGTAATTTCTAATCGCTTTGATAAATAAAGAACTATTTTAAAATAGTAGCAGAGAATTCTTGTCAATGTACTGATTAAGTTCTGAATTTTTATTGGCTTATTTTTTAGGCCTAAGATTTTTTATTTAATTTTTTTTAACAACCAGTAATAGGGTAGTTTTTCAGATACCAACCAGTAATAGTAATTTTACAAACATTTAAAAAACGTCTGTTCAGCTGATATTATCCAATATGCTGCTACGTTATACTTTACTTCAATCGTATATACTTCTTCTTGAACAGTTAACCTTCAGTTTCCCTATTAAACAAAATAAAAAATTTGTTGAAAGTTGGAAAATAATAGTTTATCAAAGGATGTTATTGTTTTATTTGATAAAATGTATGTGCAAAAGTGTGCAGAGTATTGTGGAGAATAATTTATTAGTACCAATGATAAGAATGAACTTTATAGAAGTATTGTATGTTTAATCATAATTGGGTAAAAGAAAATATACCTTGCATTATATGCCATAAAATCTTATTTTCAAAATTCTAAAGAAGTTTCCAGTTTCCGGCATTTTTTCAAACTGTGGTTGACACTTTGAAAAAATGTCCAATTCAAAAGACCAATTTTGTTTTAATAGACTTGGAAGAACAGCGATTCAGGATAAAAAGGCCTCGTTTTTGCGTGCAATGGCACAGTGGCTTTTCAAGTTGTAGAAGTTCAAATTTTTCTTATTGTGAAAACTTTACCTTATCAGCTCAAACATCTTCAGCTTTACAAAGGACACTTTTATGCAAAGCATATCTAATAGGAGACCTTTTAAATGATGGCTTTGACTTTTATTTTGACTCCTCGTTTCCAAAGTGACTCTCTTGAAAGGCGTGGTGGCCGGTTTCTGGTAAGCTTGAAAGATGTTTTATATAATTAAAGAATAATAAAAATAAAAAAATTTGGTAAAAGAATCAATCATTATTATAGAAAATGATATCAAAGTTACGAACAATTCAGATTTTTAAATGAAATAGAAGATATTAAATTATACTCTTAATTTTATATATATATATATATATATATATATATATATATATTCATGGTCTATTCATGGTATATTCATGGTATACTCATGTATATATTGCAAAAAAAATTATAAAAAAGTATGGAGAATATTAAAAAAAATAGAAATACTTAATTAGTATTTTTTTTATGTCAGAAGTATTATTTCTTGTTTATATTTATATTGCGAATTAAACAAATGCAATTATAAACAAGAGATGTTGTTTAAGCTCAATCTTAAATCCAGTTTAGATGTTTTTGTGAATGTAAATAAAAATGAATCAATGGCCTTTATTTTTTGGAGAAAATGCAGGATGTAAACCGTGTATTTTAAGTAGTAACATTCAAGTAAAACATTTCAATGGATTTTCATATAGAACATTTATCATTATTAAAACTTTACGGTTTTGAGATGATTTTTAAAAAACAAGTATTTATTCAAGGAATTTTACTTTTATAAATATAAATAATAATAAAGTATTCAGAAAATACTTCTGTTTTCCGCAATTCGACGCGTAAACATGTTGCTTGATTGCTTATCAGACATTGGATATCTATTGGATAATTGTTTGACCTGGAAGAACTTATTTAATGTCTTGAGCGAAGTTTAATTTTTTAATTTATTGTTGATTTACACACCGAATGTGTTTACTAATGACATTTAATAATAAAGAATAAAAGTCTTTTTAAGAAACTTTTTCTATTGCCATTATTGTTATTTTATAATATTAGCAATAGAATAAATATAGTGATAAAAAAAGCACATTATTATTTCCTATCAAAGAAATATTAAATCATATTTAAATATTAAATGTCTAATATGTTTAAGGAGACATTTTCAGCTGTCATGGCATTGAATGGTAAAATAAATTTAGTTTAAAAAGCATATAACCTAAACCCTTATGATTATTTGTCGCCAGTCATATACGAATGATTAATATTTTCTCACAAGCAGATAAAGAAAAGTTAAAAAGAAGAAACTAATAATTTTTATTATACTAATAATTTTTATTATGAAAAGTCAAAACATGATCAACATTAATTTCTTAATAAATTAATGTTGATCATGTTTTGACTTTTCACATATAAAAATTAGTTGTTTTTTTATAAAACATCAAAAAAAGCTATATATTTAAAGCGCGCGCCAATCGCAGAAATCATGCAACATAGTTAAAAATACAAAATTTTTTCAACGCTTTTATAAAATTTAAAAATTTAATTTTTGTTTGTCGTAATTTAAAGTCTATATCTGCTTCAAATATTGTGATAGTATTGTGCATTATTGTTATTAAATGTACATACATGGAATAATTTTTCAAGATTAGACGCGGCAAAAAGCACGTTCTTTTTTCATCGACTGAGGGATTTGATTGCGGTATCTAAAATCGCATGTGTATATATATATATATATATATATATATATATATATATATATATATATATATATATATATATATATATATATATATATATATATATATATATATATATATATATATATATATATATATATATATATATATATATGTATATATATATATATATACATAAATATATATATATATATATATATATATAAATATATATATATAAATATATATATATATAAATATATATATATATATATATATATATATATATATATATATATATATATATATATATATATATATATATTTATATTTCTTTAAAAAACTTAAACGCGACATGAAATTGTTTACAGGATTTCAGTACAATAAAAGTTTTTATAGGACATTAATCATTAAAATTTTTATATATTCTCTCCGTCCTTAGTCTGAAATCTTTTGTTTTGATCAAATTAAAATTATTGAAGAAATGATATCCTATTAATGAATTAATACAAAACATTAACAAAATTAAAATAAGTTCGAATAAACATTCGATTTTATAATCCTTAATCCGCGATATCAACTTTGTGACAGAATTTAAAAGGAAATAAAAAAAAAAGATTTAAAAGTCAATTTTATTTAAAACAACTTTTTTTGATATTTGCAGTATCTTCTGTTTGTTAGATTTTTTTTTATTTTAATATTTATTTATCTACTAAATCAAGTTTTTTAAAGATCTTCATCTTAATTATAAAAACATGGTCGGTAAATTTATTATTTTAACGATTTCAACAATCCTTATTTAGTAAGTTTATTGAGTTATAACTTACAAATGAAGAAATGGTTAGAAGATTAATAGCCATTAATATTTTATGTTGAATGTAATAATTTAAGAATCTGACATCTGTTATCATTTAACGCCTCATCTTAAACTAAAAATGCTCTTATTTTATTTAACAGTGATTTCCTGGTAACTTTGCAAAGAAGACCTTCTTCACACAGTATCCAAAGTCGGTTACAGTGCCAAATTAAATTTGTTTAAAAAAAAATTGGTGAGTTTATTTTTAAACTTTATAATACCATAGTACTTTATAATAGTAATAATACTTTCGATCTTTTTTTTTTAAAAAGTGGCAATCTTTTTAAATCTTTATTTTTAGAAAGCAATAATTTACTCGAATATATATATATATATATATATATATATATATATATATATATATATATATATATATATATATATATATATATATATATACATATATATACATATATATATATATATATATATATATATATATATATATATATATATATATATATATATATATATATATATATATATATATGTATATATATATATATATATGTATATATATATATATATATATATATATATATATATATATATATATATATATATATATATATATATATATATATATATAAATGTATATATGTGTGTGTGTTTAATTTTCTTTTTCAATGCTAATGTCAAACTTGTTTATAGTTTTATATCTTGTAAAACCATCTAACATTGCTCCTTTATTCAAAAATGCGTAAAATTACACTTCTTTGGTTTCTGGTTTCCATATTGTCGTTAAATAAAATTTGTTGTCTAACTTTGCAAGGCCAAGTTCATCGCGTGCATACAGGAAAACGAGAAGGAGATTACAAGTCGGTAAGAGTAACTTTAGTCGGTAAAGTAATAATAATCTTTTATATATACTTTTGAGCTGTTTGATATTTTTAAAAATTTTTTAGTTATATAAACTTGTAAACGCTGGCAAAAACAATTATTGGAAAAATAAAAGAAGTATGTTACGATTGCAGACCCTAACAAATGATTAAAAGTATATTAGTAAGTATTTTATGTAGAAATAGTTGCAAATAACAGCTACCAAGGTACGTCAACCAAAAAAGGGCGCTTAATTTTTAACTTTCATTAAAAAATTTTGTCAAACATTTTTTTTAATCACGTAATCAGAAATAATTTTGAATTAATTTGAACTTTACGAAGATTTTAAGAAACAAAAGGTAAAAGAGTGTTTAAGGGAAAAACCTAAGTGCAAAAACTCACGTTACATAACTTTCGCTTTGTAAGAACTGTTTTTATTACTACTTTTATAGCGTATTTTTAAATCAATAAATTAAAAAAACAACAGTTAGTTTTTACCGTAGATATGTATTGCTTAAACTTCTATTAAAAATAATAGAAGTTTAAGAATCATAAAATTTTAGGTTGGTAGGTGAAAAGCGTTGGTACTTTTAGGGAGGTAGAGGGCACTCAAAAAACGTATAGTAAAATGCGGGGGGGGGGGGTTGGCTAAAAAAAGCCTACGTACTTTATGGACGACCCCTTAAGACTATGTAAAATTTTATATTTTGGGAAAGGTAGAAACATTTTTGATTCCATGAAATTCGAAATGTGTCACTAAATTTAGTATAAGCTAGTTAATTAAAGTATTTTTTTGGGATAGGGGTGATTTTTGGGTTTTTTTTGTCCCAGGCTTCAAAAACCGCAATTTTTCGGAAAACATTCTCAATTAACATGAGCATCAACATACTTATGTTTAGAGTCTGCGATATGTTTGCAAGTGTCTCATGCATCAAATGGTTATTTTATCCCAAAATAGTTTAGTCAAAGTTCAACTTTTCTTTACTTTTCAATTTGAAAATAAAATATTGTTATAATAACGTCAAATGATTTTTTTTAAAACTAAAAATAATATTTTCCTAGCAATAAATCAGAGTTGTTAGTCCTTTGCCTTGGACTTGACCTTAGCCTGGCCTTTAGGCCAAAAATTTTGGCCTTGGCCTTAAAAAAAATACATGTTTTCTTATTGGTTTTGTTGAGTTCTGCGCATAACCTTGGTCTATTGTTACAAGATGTGGTTTTATTGTCACAGCACTTGCTACTAACAGTTTTGTTAATAATTGGCATTGAAGTGTTTGGTCACTTCAATTTTAGCCTTACATTAAAACTTGAAACTCCTAATCTTGGCCTTGACCTTAAAACTCTCGGCCTTGGTCTTGTCCTTGACCTAGTAATTTTTGATCTTGGCCTTGGTCTTGGTCTTGGCCATGGCTATGGTCTTGTAACGTATGGCCTTAGCCTTGACCTTGCTATTTTTGGCTTTGTTAACAACTCTGCTATAAATTAGAAAATATACATTTTTGTTTAGAATTGTTATCATTTTTTAAAATGTAATACCGCTGGGATCGTTCATAAATTTCGTTAGGCTAAATTTAATTAGAAAGTAAAACAAAAAAGATCGTAGGTTTTTTGTCGCAGTCTTTAATTAAAGCAAAAAATAAAATAAAAACGCAGGTAGACAGTTCTCAATATAATAGTAGAGCAAATATATATTAGAAGAAAATTTACCATTGAATTTGAAACATGGCTTTATGCAATCATCAGACGTTAACGTATGACTATCGCGTAAAGCGTGAAACTCCGAGTCACGTTTTAAATTCAATTGTAATTATTTAATTATTCTTCTAATATCTATGATTTTATGCAAAATCATTAAGATCTCTATTTTTTTATTTTACTCATTTAAATACACATATTTGACAATTAACAGCTAATACTATTTAAGGAGCTTTTTAAGCAATTAATCACTGTCACTAGTTGTGCTGTCGATTTTCGCATAAACTGTCATTACAAAAATTTTATTGCCGTAAATTTGTTACTAATAAATTAATGAAAACTTTTTGTGGAATAAAACGAAAGTTAAAATTTTAATTCAGTTTGTTATGTTATGTATTATACATTGACATTTTATAGATTGACTGAAGGTTTTTATATGAAGGGTTTAAAATACTTGTCCGACAACACGGGTTTCAAAGTGGAGGTCAATTTCTAAAAAAAATTCCTCTATATCTAGAAATTTCTTAAAAAAATAGTCCTTTACAAAAAAATTAGTGGGGAGGGTTATGGTCACGTGCCCCTGTGTAATATAAAGGAAAAAATATATATATATTTTTTCTTCTGAAAAAAAACTGTCTAGTGTAAAATTGGCTATTTAAAGCGTGCAAAATAAATTTGGACATCGCCAACTTAAACCATCAAAATAAGATCTGCATGAAACTGACGATGCAATCAAATACTACTAGGAGATTGTGTGTAATACTGCTTCAGAATATGAATCAAATGAGGTTTCAGGTTGAGACGTAATTTCTAAGGTTAAAAATAACTCTGATAATGGAAGTTTTAAATTCTACTTTTATTTAGTTGATAATGTTTTTTGTCTTTTAATTACCCAGCGGGCACAGAACATCCGATGGACGTCTTAAGGTTGTCCTACGGACATGTGACGTTCACAAGACATCGTGTAGACGCCTCACGGACGTCTGTGCACGTTGGGTAGTTGTCTTTTGTTTTTTTCTTTTATTTAGTTGACAAATGACCAATATTGCAAATATCTACAATTGTAAACAAGAAAAAGAATAGATATGCTTTTTAAAGAAAAATCGTTAAAACAATTGCAAGTGAAATAAAAGTTTGTAACAATAACTAATGTTTAAATAGCAAACATATTGATAAATACTTTGAAAAATTTATTTTCAATTAAAGTTTAGCTTGTTACAATATTGTTTATAAATATTGATACTATGTCCATATTGTCAATATATTGTATCTAAATTATTACGTATATTATTCAAATTTACTATGTATACATGAATGACATCTATATATTACTGTATGCATATATATACATATCTAACAATTATACCCTATGTATTACATTCACATTATCAATAATATTAATTCAAAATATTTAAACTTTTATTCTATGTAATATGAAGTTTAAAAGTAATATACACAAAGGGGTATAGTTAGAGTTATCATAGATATATATGAATACACTAAATTACCCAGTCATTTAATCTTATAAGTCAGGCTTAACATAACGATGTTTATAACAACCATATTCGCATTATTACATAGCTATTTAGGGGGATAAATTTTTAGCGGTATCCAAATTTTAACATGATATTAATAAAAAAAACACTGTCGCGTGGCCTTCTATTTAAAAACAGTAGTAACATTGCAGGGGTACAGTAAATCGAGAGGCACAGTGAATAAAAGACATTTTCTCAAAGATTAGAATTTTTTTCATCTTGATAATGTAATCATTTTATGTTCTCATATATGAGCCATTTAAAGTTGTTGCCACAAAATTTTTGACTATTGGTTTTGGTAGGTAAATTTTATTTTTAACTGACTAAAGTAAATTTTCTTACCTTCCTTATGTTTTTTATGATTGAAATAATTTTAAAAGTTGAAGTTTTTCATTCAGATTATTGATATTTATGCTTTCTTTTAGTAGTTTAATTTTTCTATTAACATGACAGCAACAACACTCATGTACCAAGAAATTAGAATTAAACTTAGATTGTGATGGTGGGGCACAGTGAATCGGGGTACAGTGAACAGGTTGATTTACTATACCCCATTAATGATCTTAAAGATTAAATTTATGCATTTTTACAAACAAACTACATGAAAATGAATTTATAAGTTTTAAGTTATGAATAGTAATATTTGAATAATTTTTTGATATTTTTGTAATAAATTAAATAAGTTTCGTTATCAATGAAATTCTTTTTTTTTTCTTCTCAATTTTCAAAATGTCTATTTTTTCCATTTTATAATAATCTTATTAATAAATGTATGCCAAAAATATAGTATACAGTGTCTTTACTCCCTCAGCCTCATAGTTATTCGGCTATGCCCCTATTCACTATTATTAATTCACAGCTGTGTTCATTGATTCACCGTGCCCCAGTACTGGGGCACAGTAAATGACGTAACGCAACTTACTTTAAACCTTTATGTGAACCGTTATTTAATAAATATTTGGGTTTTAGTGATTTGTTATCATGAACGACATATATCTCAATCCTTTCGCCATAAAAAAAAAAAAAAAAAAATCATATTTTAACTATTGCTTAATTAAAAAAATAAAGAAATCCGATCCACTGTGTGGATCGGATTTCTTTATTTAAAATAGTAGTAGTGGAAGTTACCACTACTACTATTTTAAAAAATTGAATGTTTTTTTCTAAGAATTCTTTGGATTGATAACAAAACCCAACGATGTTTCGCTCATCGTTTTTAACGCACTTAATAATGTAAACAAAACAACTATTTTGGTTATAGGTAGCTAAAATTAATAAAAAATTATTATCTTACTATTAAAATATGTCATATTTATTTAATAGATAGTTGTTTTTTTATTTTTTTAAATAAGTTTTATATTATTTATTGTTTAGATGAGAAAAAGAAGATCTCTTCATATTCAACAACAATATAAATGAATTATAGTATAATTTTGTATTTAATTTTGTTTTTTGTAATTGTTGATTTGCTTTTTTACGTGCTTAAAAAGTTGTTATGCGTATTTGTTTATAACTTGGGGCAAAGTGAAATAATATGGGGCAAAATGCAACACTATAATCTTATGGTCATAAAACGTGCTAAATTAATGCTTTATAATTGACTCTTACTAGTTAAGGGGGAAAATAAAAGAAACAAAATTTATCTGTTGTTCAAAAATGTTTCAAAACTTCATTTGCAAAGTAATGGGACAAATTTACATATTAATTAAGTAATAACTTTATGATAACGAAGTATTACGCAATGTTTACGCTAATATTATGCAATTAAATTTTTTTGCAGTGTGGCATTGTACAATTTTTTATTTTAAAATTTAAAAAATGTTAGCCTATTTTTCTTGCTCTCATGTTTATATAGATCTTATAGGAAAAGTGGACCAATTCTTTTTACACATTGTTTATAGGAAAAGTGGACCAACTCTTTCACTGTTTAAAAATAGATCTTTTATATTATGTACACAGTTAAGTTTGCTGAAACAAAAAAAAACTTTTTTTTAAATAAGTTCATTGGCGAATTTTTTCTCCTTACTCTGATTAAGTTTTTGGGGGGGAAGAGTTTTTGACAAAACTATGTTGTGTGAGTTGTTTCCTGAATTATTTTATGTTTAATATGTTTGTGCGATTTATATATTAATTGATAATTATTAAATATATTTTGTAAATATATTCAAATTTTTACTATTTTAATCGCATCAGTCAGAAAGATGCTAAAAATGGAAAGATTTTTGAGCCAAATTTTTATGTATCTGACACCTACTCGCGCTGGCCCTGGTCTCAATATGGTTTATAAAAGATTATTAGAATTATAAAATAAAAATCAGAACGATATACGATATATACTCAAAGTTTTTCAACTTTCAAAAAAAAAAAAAAATTCGAGGTTTTTTAACTTAATCAAAACGAAAAACGATACGATTCGAAAGTTTTTTACTTTATTTGATTATATGTTTATTCTATTGAGATTTGCGATATTGGTCGAAAAAATTTTCGCTTCAAAAAGTAAAAAAATAAAATTGTTTTAACTTTATTTTGAAAAAATCACCATATTTATTAAATAAAAAAAGTAAAGTTAATTTCCTAAACACACTCCTTAAATTTATTTTAAATTTGCTGTTATTTTTTTTATTAACTATTTAATTTTGAGACAGCATCAAAATTCTATTTAAAGTTGTTTCTTAACTTTGCCATTAATTTTTTTCATTATTTTGGCGCCAAAAGTAACAAAAGGTTTAGCATGTCTTCCGAAAAACGCTGAGAGTGAAAAGTTCTAAAATAAAGAAAATAGCTTATACTCTATTATGTTGGGATCAATTTAACTATTGAAAAATTTTTAATATGATAAAATTGTTAATAATTAATTTAAAATATAGAGAGTAAATTTATAAGATTTTCAGAGCCTCATTAAATTTTGAAATTTGAAAATATTAATTATTTATATACACAGTTTAAGCAGGTTTTTGTGCACTCAGACAACCCTACTTCTACACTCCAAGAAACAATCCAATATATGAAAATAAATGTTTTTTTGCGTGACTGTTACACGTGCGTATGTTGCTTAAGTTAGAAAATACACGTTTTTTAGTGATAACCACTGAAAAATTTTCTTTCAAATAGCAAAAGAATATAAAAAAGGAAAAAAAAAAAATCGAAAAAGAAGAAAACAAAATTTAATCTGAATTACAAAAAACTTAACTTTATTTTTATCCGCAAAATAAAATATCCGCAGTATACGCTTGCTGCTTCAGGCTCGCTATTCTTTTTTTTTCTTGACTGTTTCTGGCAAGAATTAAACACTATTGATTTTAATAAATTTAATAATTGTGCGGCCGTGGCGCAATGGTTAGAGCGCTTGCTTTAAGCAGGAGATCCAGGTTCGAAACGAACTTTGGACATATTTCGCATCACGGTAAGGAAGGAGACGTGAACTTTCTGGTTAAATTCGACCCCCACCACATCCCTGGTAGTACCGCGCTCAACTCGTTTCTCTGCGCAGCGGCCTTGTTCATCAAGGTTTGTGTTTCGGAGTTATAGAGTTGAGAGAGGGTTATAACCACAAATAAGTAGCCTCCTCGTCTGTAGTGGCCTTCTCGGCCTTGAGGAGGTGAATTAAATAAAAAAAAAAAAAAATGCACTTGCGGTGCACTGTGACAAGACCGTTGTGACTTCTTGGGGCACCTAAAATAACAAATTAAAAATAATAGTAATAGTATGATATAATAAAATATGATAATAGAAGAAATATAAGTGATGCCATAAAACTTAAACGTTTTAACAACCCCAATTACAATGTTCCAAGAAACCTATATTTAACCAGTGCATTCTTAAACAATTTAATTAACTACCCCATGCAAAAAATCTCTTTAAAATTAAAAGAAGCCTACAGAAGGCACTTAAATGTTATCAAACTATTTTATTATCTTTTATAACATAAGATTTTAATTATTTAATAATACAAAAACCACAAAAAAATAATTTCATATGTACAACTTAACTTTCACAATTTTATCCATTGACAAAGTAGTTTTTTAGGCAAAGTAGTTGTAGATTGACTTTTTTACTGCTTATCATCAAAGTCAAGCCTACGTTGTATCCAAGTTTGCTTTGATGTTTATTTGCTGTCTTTTAATCTTTAAAATATTTCGTATTTATTGAGACACTCTCCATTGCATCTTGCCGCGTCTACGAATTTTCGTTTTTTTGCATCAAAGTTTTGAATGCGAAATATTTTCTGCAATACTGTGGCTAGTGATTGGGCCGATTACATATGTTTTTCAACTTCTTTTTGAATTTTCTTTCGAATAACTAAAGAATTTTTAATGATTCATTGGTCAGTTTAGACATAATTAATTAATAAAAGTTCTATTGGCGTATTTCATTCAACCTCATAGTTCACTATTCTCGTTTTTACCGGAATTAGCAAATTTAATTTGGAAAAAGATTCTTGACCAGCGTAAAAAATTATACGTTTTAAGTTCAATGCCAGCAAATATTTCACTTCCGAGAGTTTCATGCCCATTTTTCGAAAAAAAAAAAAAATTATTAACCATCCGAAAATTTGACCATCCATAGAAAAATTTTGTATTAAGATTTTATATCATCTTATTCAGAAAAAGATTCTCAACAGCATGATCAAAAATATTTGCAAAACGTTAATTCAATAAAAATAACGTTTCGTTCCTCTATTTCATTCGCTTTTACTCTAGTTACTATTGCACAGTTACAGTGATAAATGCTGGATAAGTGTGGCCGTGGCGCAGTGGTTAAAGCGCTTGCTTTAGAAGCAGGAGATCCAGGTTCAAAACGAACTATGGACATATTTTAGGGTCACGGTAAGGAAGGAGGCGTGAACTTCCTGGTTAAATGCACTTCCGCGGTGCTCTGTGACAAGACCGTAAGGACTTCTTGGGGCACCTAAATAACAAATAAATAAACTCAAATAATCAGTGATAAAAAAACGCACACAGCCAGTGACAAACAAACTCACATAATCAGTGATATTGAAACGCATACAGCCAGTGATCAGTAAGCTCAATTAAATAGATTGCTATCACTCTCAGATTTTTTCGTGAACTATTTTGGTCTTGTTTGCTTCAATCTGCAGACATTTATGGTTTACTATTGAAATAGATAAAACGCTTTTATGGTCAAACAAAACAACTAAAAAAAGTGTTGGAGCTGGGATATTACTAAATAAATTTGATACAAAAGGTTCATTAGATAAGTCATAAACTTTTGATTGCTTTCAAACCTCCAAAAATGTTTTTCCCACTTATATGACCTATTCACTTGTGTGACCAATTCACTTGTGTGACCTATTCCGAAAACTGAATACCCTTGTACTCGAACAGCTTCTTTTTATGGTGTGAGTGAAATCAAATATTAAGAACTCTGAGTATTTAAGGACATCGTATTCACACTTTAGTTTGCGTAGTTGGAATTTTTGACTTCGAGTGTAAATATAGTTATTTAATAAAAAGAAAGTTGATATGTTTATGCAAACTTAAAAAGAGCAACTTGTTTAGCGTTATTTTCTGAAAGAAATTCAGCGCAAGAGATTTCACAAGGTTTTATTGCAACTTTTTCAAATGGACCCGGTGCCGTGTTTCCGGATTCAAACCAATTTGTCGTCAAAATTACACGACGTGAAAAAATTTAACTTCTTTCTTGCTCTTGCCCATGCTAAATCAAAAAGCATCTTATTTTGTATGTTGAAAGTTTTATCCGGAGATTCACCCGTTTCACCTCGGTCAGAAAGCTGGGAATTTCTATCTTCGTTTGTTGTTTCTGAATCAATTATGCAAAATTCTTCTTGACTTTGGCTAATGAAAATCTCCTCTTCAATTAATTCCAATGATGATCTCAACTTAATTTATTAATTTTAGCTGTTTGAAAAACTTAATAATTTGAATTATAATAAACTTCAACACAAATTTCATCTGAAATAATTTGTTTTTTCACTTCAGAGTTTGTTACCTACCACTTCTTCAAATAATTTTTTAGTTTCTCGTCACTTTCTAGGTGCTGTTTTCTTTTCTTCTTAAATTGAGCGCCAGTCTCAAAGTAATAGTCTCGAAGTATAACAAAAATAAATAAAATTAGTTTTGAATGCTCTCCATTAAAAGAAGATAATTAATTAATATATCAAGTATGTTAGTGTTAAAAGGAACTTTTCTGTTCAGTAAATTTTCTTTTTTAAATTTATTTTTAATAAATTTTTCTTTTTGAATATATATAGTAGAAAAATACGTGATTATCACAACTTTTTGAAAGAAAGTTTTATGCTATTTCAATCATCAGATGAAATACAAATATAGTTTTTTCTAGGGTGTACCGCAATGGAAATTTTGAATTCTTACCGGATTTGCTAATAAAATTCCAGGAAGAATTATATTTATGTAATTTTTCACTTTCAAGATTGAAAGTGAAAGGCTGCACCTCAGCATCGT